TGTACTGCTGTTGCACTGCGGTTTAGTCCACCACTTGCCTCACCACTTGACCACTTGCCCACTTGCCTACCTTCTAGAAGGTCTACAGCTAAGCTACAGATCGAACCCCTGCTGCCTATGGACCTACAACAGGCCTACCAACTGCCAACGAATACACAGGTCACAAGTTCAATTCCCGGGTCTACACAGATACTGTACATGGGTAGGGTGAGGTCTACGGATCGAACCCTGGGTCCTGCATCCGCCACTGCTAAAAGGTGAAAACCGTTTCAGTATACGCAACCGCATTCAATGTATAAAACGTCTAAAACATATAAAATCATATTAAAAATTAAAATGTATAAAAACTTTAAAAAGTATAAAACATATAATAAAATCCAACACCAAAGCGACAGCCCAAGGGAGAGCAAAACTCCAACAGCAAAAAAGAGACACACAGGTACGGGGTATCAAAAATCGTGAAGGCATTAGAAAGCAAGGCATCGTCAAAGAGTCCCTCGGGACATCAGTTAAAATTGGAAGGGACCAACTGGCCTAGCTCAGTTGGTACACCACTGAACTATTGAAATACAGACCAGGTGCAGAGTTCAAACTCCACTGGAAGCAGACGAGTAAACTTCTGTAATTCGGAATTATTACCTTGGGCCAGTCAGTTCAAATGATGATATCTCAAGGACGTAGCCCTTCTTTAAAAAAAAAAAAAAAAAAAAAAAAAAAAAAAAAAAAGGAGGAAGGGTACAAAGAAAATTAGCATGGAGTCTGCGCACCGGAGGGGAAGGTATCGCCAAAGCATTCGTGCAGTTTCACAAGGTTGAGGATGGGATTGAAGAGGAAAAAAAAGGAAAAAAGATTGCTAAGTGTACGTGCATGGAGGGAGGATAAGGAGGAATGAACAGCACAAGGGCAATCCGGGAGCGGGTGAAAAAGCGTGCAGCGCCTTGTTTGCAAATGGTGCACCAAAATGAAGAAAAAGGAAACTGGACGACGACAATGGTCAGAGCAGGAGGAGCGCTATGGAGAGGGAAAGTCGAACGATAAAAAATGAGAGGAACAGAGCAGAAGGTAAACCGGGAACATACGAACGAGCGGACAGAGCCTCTCGCGCGACTGGAACAACGATATGAAAAAAAAAAGGAAACCGTCGGACTGACGGCAACAACAGTCAGAGCAGGAGGGCTATGGAGAAGGCAAATCTAACGCTAAATTCGACGCCGGAAGCAGAAGAACAAGCGGACAGGGCCGTCTGTGAACTGTAAAACCAATTGAAGAAGAAAGACATCGGACAAACACATCAGACAAACACATCGGACAAACACATCGGACAAACACATCAGACAAAAACATCGGACATCGGACAAACACATCGGACAAAAACATCGGACAGTTGTCACCATCGTCAGGATCAGGGCAGGCGTGCAAGGGGAGGAGATTAAGTCGAACTGGAAGTCGACAACATGGGCCCCATGCACGCAAGGGGAGACTCCTCACGTGCTCGTTCAGGACTTGAATGCTACCCCTCTTCAGCGAGCTGTCCGGAAAAGCTATGGAAAAAACCCCTCCCGAAGCGACCTGAAACAGTTTTCACCTTTGGCAGTAGCCGATGCAGATCCCAGGGGTCGATCCCTTGACCTCAGCTTACCTGTGTACAGTATCTGCACAGTT